TATATCGCGGCCATGTTTGCAGATTGTGGTACGCTATTGTTGTAGCTCGGTGAATTTGAGTTTTAAATTTACGATATGTAATTTCGAATATTTTTATAGTAAAACCATAATGGTGGTTACACATTTTCAATTGTGACGCGTGGTCTACTTCTTTGAGTTGACTTAATGTCCTGTAATCCCTAGATGGCGTCCAAAGTGAGCCTCGTATTTCACCTCGCTCCAAGTCTTTCTGGGTCTCTTTGCCTCATCTGTATGACGCCAGGTTTGCTAGGGACAGCCACGCTTTCGCTTTCCTTGCTGCTTCCATTCAAGCGCCTGCTTGAAGATATAATTGGAATCTCTTCGGAGTCTATAGCATATCCATATCTAATTACGTGTTGAGTTGAATCAAATTATATTTTTGCTAAGCGTTCGACGGAGGTGTTTATCTATTTGACATGTAATTATTATTCTTTTCTTTGACCAGAATCACGCTACGAACATCCGACGCTACATGCGTTTGTTTCTTAACAACTCCGGCGGTAGATATTTCTTCAACTCGTTTCAGTTACTGAAAGATTTCATATAGTACAAGTGAAACTCGAAGGAAATCTGGATACAGAGTACAAAATACACCAAATATTTTTCGTACAACCGATCGATTTTCTTCGTTCTATTGTCGTTTATTTCGTTAACTACATTCTTTGTTTCACTGACTCTATATTTATTCAATATTTTATATTTATATAACTATGTCCCGTATTAGTTAGTGCATAGTGCCGTCACGTGTTAGTGCACGGGTCATTACGATCTGGGGGCCTACCATGAACTTTCTTAAAACAATCCAGTTGAGATGCAGTTGAGTTTAGGTACCTAAAGTCAATAGCATTTTTTCGCACCATGACCGCCTATAAGCTGAAACGTATTTGCATCGCAAGACCGAATGAAAGAACGATAATTTTATTTGAGGTTTCTATGTAAGTTTTGAAATTTAACTGTCAAACTTTCTTTGACAGATGTTTCTATAAAAATAAATAAAATATAAAATTGTTTTCAATAATTCATCAATCATAATAAGCTATTATGTCTTAATATATTTATTTATTTAATATATAAAACTACTCTTTTGATATATTTTCAACAGTTTTCTGGTGCTATGACAGTGGACACTTATTATTTTGGTGTTTACAAAATTTCAGTTTTATAAATATAGTTTTACAAATTGTTTCACTTATTAAATAATATGAGGGGGTAAGTATTGTTCACAAATTTGTTGATTAAAAATAAATACCTATATCGAAGTTAATTCCTGATAAAACTCTTTGCAAAAGATATTACAAATCAACTTAATATTCGAAAATCATAATAACAATTATTTCCTTCAAATTGTACAAATTTAGTTTATACGTTAACTAATTCATATAATATAAATATGTAATTATATTTTCTTTACAGCTTAAACCTGACAAACTCGCTGAATTGAGAGAATGAAATATATGAATATATGGTTATATCCAATTGAACATTGCCTGAAGACACCTTTTTCTGTCTTGATGGAGTCATCTACTAAATAAATACTGTTATTATATTATTTTCAAATGGCTTATTATTTACACGTTATAAAAATACCTATGTTTTTTTAGACAACAAAAAGCAGAGGATAATCAATCAAATCATGAACATAATGAGGAAAAATTTAATTATAATAAATATCTACTATTGATATGGCAAGCTTATTTATTATAAAATCTGATATATTGGGGAATTATGTTTGTGTTAGACATGCCTAAATAATTAATTGAATATTATTGAACAGCTTGTGCAATTATTTTTAGGTACACTAAAATCCTCAACGAATCAAAGTCGTTAATCTATAGCAAAATATAAACTCGATATCTACGAAGTAGGTAGAAGGGCATTGCCGTCTTGTTTCTCATCTCCGTCGATATTTTAATAATTAATTTATAATGACACTTTCTAAACTCAAAATACCTCAAATTATCCGAAACAGACATAGTAGATACATACTATACAGTATACTATATATATCTATAGGTTCTTAACTATTATTTGGACATTTCGATACAAAAAAGTTGGACAAAAAGTAACTTTTTTAGAATCGCTTATTCTGTCATAGTTGGAAGGCGCAACTGTCAAATTTCGGTTCAGCCGAGCGGTCATGGTACGGATTTTCATACAAATTGAACGAACGAAATCTGATAACCGCTAAGGTCACGTGGGAACCTAAACTGTCTCGTTTTTTCGATGTCATGGTACGAATTAGCGATGCGTCTCAGTTGTAGGTTGTCAATAGGCTCGCAATAAGAGTTCATGGTAGGCCCCTGGTGTCATTACTTAGTCTTAATAATGATAATGAAGCTCGATATTTAAAGCTCCAGAGGCTGAAACTTTTCAAGCAAACTTTTGCCTTGAACTATTTTGTATAGAATGTACCTAGCTCTCTTAGCTATTTTTCACTCATAATAAAAAAGTTATGACTTATTATAATCGGGACTTTTATTCTTATCATTGCTAAAAAGTGTATGAAAACGATTGTCAAACCACCAAACATTCATGTTTTAGTTATTAAGATAAAGATATCATTTGTAGTAAACAAAAAAGCAATGAACACAACAAACACAACAAACACTCAGATACAAAAAATTTAAAAAAGAAGGTAATGAAAAAGGTTTACTTCTTGGCCTTAACAAAGTATTCATAATTATCTTTTCATATTACAATACGTTAACGGTATTGGATATCGAATTATACCATTTTGGTATGGAATAAATGTTACTTGAAGTGGCGTTTTCGATCTGTATTTACTCCTGCCAAAATTTACATATAAAGTGTAATACAGCGACTAACAAAACCAAAATGTATTTAATCAAATTGGTAACTACACACCTATAAACCTCATCATTACCTCAACACTTATGAACTATTTATAAAATAATTAGACAATTTGAATAAAGTACGTCAATCCGTGATAGATGTGACCAAGTCCAACTAAGTTGTAAGTAATTTAAATAGCAGTGAATGCTGCGTTTCCAAAATTTTAACCCTTATGTTTTTTATAGAAACCCTTAGTCATCATGTACCTCGTAGTAGTTGTAAGGGTACGTTTTCTGCCAACAAAATTAATTAACTTAAATCCTAGAACTTACCTTGTTAAAACTAACGCTCCTAATTAAAAATTTGCCAACACATTTTCTAATATTATTATTTTTGTTTTTTCTTACTCTCTTTGTTAGTTTTTATTGCATTTCCATATTAATCATCGAGTCATCATTTAAAATTTAAATAATTATAGACATTGGACATACTTTCTATGTATTCATTATATTTTATGACGACATTTGTTCACTATCCAAAACATCTACACAGAACGTGGAATTTATGGACTAAATAGTTCACCAACTCGCAAAACTTAGGGTAGTTGCGTAAGTAAATTTGTGAACCTAAGAAAGCCATACCATATCTGAAACTGTCTATCTCCTAGCCATTTTGATTTTCTCATCGAACCGTACAGTGACTGGAAATGATGTCACTGTACGATCGGAGATCTCCATCCGGTTTTGTGTACAAATTGTTAAATGGTCAAATATAGAACAGTAACCTCTTTCAGAATAATAACATTGGCGTCCCTTATTCATTCCAAGGTTCAGAATCAGCAGAATTTTCCTAATTCCGTTTATAAATACCAACCTAGCAGTTTAATGAGGACTCATTCGAATTCTTCGCCAATATAACATTCGGTAGTGGGCTGATTTATTTTTAAAATAAACGTTGGTAAGCGGCTATCTGGTACCTAGCACGCATTAAGCAAAAAATTACTAAAAATTAAAATTGGAAGTGAAATTTTATTGTATTTTTATATTTTTTTGTAAGATTTATGTTCTCCATAATTATCATGTATTCTAGAATAGATAAATTGTAACTATACCATAGAAAACGTATTATCTATGATGTAGTGTTTTAGTAGATAAATAAATAACCTTCATGAGGCATAAACTCACTAAAGTATTACGTACTCGTATGTATCAAGAGCCCTTGTTCCTTAATGAGTCCATGAATAAAAGGGTACACAAAATTTCGAGTACCACGTAATTATAAGGAACGGAACCTAACTAATTATTGTATACCTATTAACGCAAAGTGTAAAACGCGATTAGCTTGTAATATGAGGCTCTACAATTAGCGTATCAGCGTCGAGACACGTATAATTAACTAAAAAGCTCCGAACCCACGGTGTAATTATTTTGAAAGCGAATGTTAATATCGAAAAATGTGAATCGGCTATAAGGAAGTCTCAAAGCTCGTAAATCTAAATTGATCAATCGTAAAATCTCAACGGAATTTTGTTTTCTCTTTCTGATGATTAACTGTCTCGTATTTTTAATATTGAACGTGCCAATCGGTGCCAATATTTTTAAAAGACGCGCTCAATATATCGTTTGACTTTTGCTTGTAAAAAAACTAAATCAATGGCGCTACAACCTTTTTAGGTCCGGGCCTCAGATTTCTGTATCTGTTTCATGATCATTTAATCTAATAGGCAAGTAAGTGATGAGCCTTCTGTGCCTGACGCAAGCCGTCGATGTTTTGGGTCTAAGGCAAGCCGGTTTCCTCACGATGTTTTCCTTCACCATTCGAGCGAATGTTAAATGCGCACATAGAAAGAAAATCCATTGGTGCACAGCCGGGGATCGAACCTACGACCTCAGGGATGAGAGTCGCACGCTGATGTCAATAGGCCAACACTGCTCAAGTTTTGCTTGTACTATATAAATAGCTATTACATAATAGCTAATTGAGGTGTCAAATGTAATTTTTTTATATATTTCTTAGCAGACGACTATTTTGTAGTCGGGGATATTGAGTTACGTATCCGTAAATATAAAACTTTTTGTATTATATTGATAGCAGATTTCAGGAGATTTCTAACTTTTAAATTTTTATTTACCTACACAAAGCCGCGTAAAGGTTTGACAAACAAGTTTGATGTATGTGTGAGAACAATGGCTTTTAGAGGTGCGATTGTCAATACAGAGGTCGTTCTAACCTCGAATTTCGAAACATTTTGTTTAACAATATGGCAAGTGGAACATGGTGCTCAATAATAAGAATACCTTTTGTTTTAACAATTGTGGGCGATTAAAAAGTGTGGCGGATTTGCCAGTTTGCGCTCTACGCCCTTGATCTGGGAACGATTAGTAAATGTATATTTAGATCTCTCAATTTAGTTTAATATCGTTCGTAATTTTACAATAACTAATTTTCTTTCTGTGTCCCAAATTAATGCCTCCTCGTACTATGTAAAAAACTGTATGAATAATGGCGTTTTTTATGATAAAAATGAGTTAATCAGTAGCATTGAAGACTATAAAAATTTTTATCAATGAAATTGACGTAGAAATTTGTTTTCCTCATTATCCTCCTTCTCATTTCAATTTATTGAAATTTCCATTAAAATACTAATTGCATTGTGATTAAATTTTCTGTTTAATTTAAATGAATCTTAGTCATGAAACATTTACTATAGAAACAGAAAATACCAAAGGGAATAAGGAAGGAAATCAAGAAATAAATATACACATACTGTCAATACAGGGTGTAATAAATGTCGACAGAAACAAATCCAACGATAGATTTATGTATCGGAAACAAATCGATACGGCCTTTATATAAACTAATTCATATAACATTATATAGGTTGTCTGATCAAAACAAAATATTGAAATTCAACAAAAAAACGGTGTCAGTTATATATTATCTAATATATAAAATTCTCGTGTCGCGGTGTTTGTGGTTAAACTCCTCCGAAACGGCTTGGCCGATTCTCATGAAATTTTGTGTGCATATTGGGTATCTCTGAGAATCGAACAACATATATTTTTCATCCCCATAAATGTTAAGGGTAGTCCACCCCTAAACTATTATTTTTAATTTTTAGATTTTTTTTATTATAAAATGAGGGGTTGTTGGTATTTTTTAATGCAGTATAAAAAATACCAACAACCCCTAATTTTCACCTCTCTAGTGTCAACCCCTATTTTTTATTATAAATGATATACATGGCAGTTTTCCAGGTCAGCTAGTTAATATATAAAGATGGCTATAAGATAGGTACAAAGGATATATTCATCTTCTCAGTTAAACATTAAAAATATACGAATTTAAGCTTCCATGAAGCTTTGTTTTTCATTCGTCTGAAATTTTATGTTTATTATATTTGTATTTGTATATATTAATTAGTATTTGTCCTCAACACCTTTTTGCTACTTAAAATAAATGAAGGTAAAAACAATATTGTCGATATAAATGATCACAAATTATATAAAACGTAAAATAAAATGTTAATCCATAGAAAATTCTTCAACAAACTTATGATAGGGCCTTGGAATAATCATACTCATTCAAAGTCTAGACAAAATCATAGGCCTTGATAAAGTTGTTTGTAGATTCTCGCACGATTAGGGCATAATAATATATTGACATAGATCGCATTAGCCTGCTCTAGCCGATAGCTGTTTGCACTGATAGTAGACTTAATCAATTGCTCTGATTACGTAAACTGCTTGAACGCTAGATAAAGTTAAGTGGAAGCTTCCGACGGATATTTGGACATTTGTTTGTTGATGTTATACGTTTTATTAAAACTAAATTTTATATCTAACTAAAGCTATGCAACTTGCAGTGTAAACACAATTTGAAAAGATTACTTTGGATTTATAAAACTGAATGGTTAAATAAATTAAATGAAAAAAATCACGGTTATTACCATCAAAGAAGATTTATTTAGAGTATTCGCATTAATCAATGTTAGACTATTTAATTTTTACTAAAGTGCTCATCTACCTCTTTTCATCACAGCGTAAAGCCAATACGACAGAAAGGGAGAAACTAAATAGACTGATTGTTATTACATTAGTTTATTACTATTAAAGGGTTTAGTCTACTATTCGTATTATATGTGTACAGCTTGCCAGCCAGTGGAATATGACATGTGTATTTACATTTATTTGTAATACGTCTCAGGAGTATACAAAAAGTATATATATGTAGTGTATGTATTATACACACACACAAGATAACTAAATAAAGTAGTAAATATATAAATAAGTACGGGATATGGCAGTAAGAGACCTAAGGTAACAGACGGAGCCTTACGGGTAGGATCTTAAGTTCGGGCAGGCTCACCACGATAGTTTAAGGGCTTGAAGGAGTCTTCGCCACTTTCAACGGAAGAGAAAAAATATATAATAAGACAGAGCAATATTCGAATCTGTTTCACTCTTTATTAACATATTCTTAAAAACTATTTACTCATATAAAATGACTCTCGTGAGCCTCAGCTATTCCAAATTTGGAACAACCAGATGAGCCATGTCAGTAGTTCGTCAAGGCTAAAATGAAATATGAACAACACATATTTAAAATAACTCGTGAGCTATCGGTGTATCGCCGTGCTAGCAGTTGGTCAATGTTGAATAAAATCTAAACATAAATTTAATGTTTATTTTTACCTATACCTTTACCATGATCCAGAATGGATTTCTACCATCTTGTTATATTTAGAATTCTTTTAAATAAATTAACTATTGTTTTAAAATGTTGTTCTCTGTGCTCACTGTTCGTATTAAAATGAATCTGGTTTACTTCTTGACTGGATAAATCACATTGAAAGTACAGTCACGAGAATACTCACTTTACAAGAAATTGATTTTAAATTCTCAAATTAAATTATAATATTATCTAAATAATAAAATATAACGTTAAATATATAAAAATACACCGTTAAGTTCTTATTTATGTTATTAATAATAAATTGAACAACTGAACAAACTTAAAACAATATTTAAAAACAAACAAAAACTTTTTTATTTTTTTATAGATAAGTGTGATTCAGGTACAGAAGGCTGATCACCTAGACTTCTGTACCGGTCTAAGACACGAAGTTTTTCACCTTCACAGACTGAGCCAGGGTTAGCAGTGATTCAAACGCACGTCCTCAGGGTTGAGAGTCGCATGTTTAAGCTAAACACTTGGCCACTTTTTTTTAAATACATGATTAATCCTAAAAAAAATCTCATCTATTTGAATCTTGGCTAATCCAATATGGTGGTATCATCGACAATCTTTCGCTGTTACTAGCTAATCTCCGATTCTCTCTCCCTTCGAGCTCGTGGTCCCCGACTAGGTCCAGGGATGCCCAAAGCTGTTCATGCCCAAAGCCTTTTTGCACAATTAGCTTTAATAATTTAGATAAATGTGGCAGAGTCTTATCAGAGACTACCAATTAATTCGTGCAAATAATTTAATAAATACAAGCTGTGTGAGAATGCATATCACAAATTAATTCGTAAATAATCTGCGCTGCACAAATGCTGTATTATATTTATTACACTGTAAAATTTTAAGAGTTGCACTCACCATTTACTCCATTCAGAGCGAGTAAGCGTATTTAAACTTGTTAGCAGAATTAAAACAAGTGCTTGAACGTGTGCGATATGTGTTTTCTACAAAATTATTTTATGATATTTATAGTTGTACCTTGGGTTCAGATTAAATATTGACCCAACTGTTACTGAAACACACATTATGTTTACATTTTTAAGTATGCAATTGACGTAGTATTTAAACCCCAAAGAGGCGTATCTGTGCGTCTGTGTATTTGTGTGTCTCGTTGAGTTTCAGCTCCTAAATGAATGGACCAATTATTTTCGGTTTTTCGTGTTAGATATGTTGTAATCGAGATGGTTCTAAGTTATACATTTATTAAGATTTGTTCACATGTCTGAAAAAAGAGATGATCAGAAAGAACTATTGGATACATAATCAGCTCTTATTGTTAGCATTATTTTATATTGTTAGCTTGTACTCATTCTTGTACAAAAAAAAGGGTGCGTGTACTTATGTACGCGCGTAAGAAGTTATACTTCTTTGGCATTATTAAATATAGTTTTTGATTGCATGCAAATAATTAATTACAAATAATTAATTACAATTAAATAATCAAAGACTGGAAAAGGAGTCATTATAGTCAATAAAGTTAAGTTTCCATTTGAAAAATTTAAAAAATAAATATTTATTATTATTCTCTTACATTAAGTGTAACATAAATTCTATTATTATTCGAATGTTGTTTTTAAATTATGTCCAATGCCGTAGCATCTTCCGTGGGCAACTTCATTCTGTTAATTTTGTGTCACGGTGCGCGCGCATCGTAAAATTTCACTCTCATAAATTTTTCATAACGCGCCTAACTAAAGAAGTATAACTTCAAAAGCCTCCCTGATAATGGATCTTTTTGTTGTTTTTTTAGAGTTGCGTAAAGCATAGTTATCCTAGTGGTATTCTCGCAGACTGGTGTTTAGAATAAAGGCATAAAGAGAAAGGCGTTTTTGACAGGAAATATTCAAACTGGCCTTCATATTTATATTTAAAACATACAATTCATGTAATTTGAATGTTAATGTAAGAAAACAAAATCATTTGTTCTCTCTACTAATGTTTTTTTTTTAATTGAACCCAAAACTTTCAGAGCCAGCAGAATAACAATGAGTTACGTATTATATAAACTTTAGCTGTTATTTACAGCAAGAAACATATACAAATTGAGATATAGAAAAACATAAAGCCAACAATCATTTTTATAATTAGAAAAGGTCTTCGGGCATTATAATAAAATCTTACAGCTACAACAACACACAACATGTAAACATACAAAAGAAAAATTAAAAACTGATATTCTTACATTGTGGCTACAATCTTCTTATTATAGCTTCTATCTTTTTCAGAACTGCTCTTAGACACACTTAGAACCCACCAAAAAGCGGCGTGCGACGAAGACACGGTGACGCTGATATGTCCGAGAGGCACCACGATCAGCATCCAAGTCGCGCAATATGGGGCCGCAGCATCGCAAAGCTCCTGCTCCCCAGAACTCGCGGAGTACCAGCCTGTGGCTGTCGAGGTTCTGGGAGATACTAGCTGCACTTGGCCAAGCGCTTTGCAGGTGTGACCAATTATTATTATTTAAATGAAGTATTTCTTACAATTCACAACCCACTCTCGTCATCTATACTAATAATATTTTTGTTTGATTGAACTTATGTCAGTTACTAGTGGTGCTATTTAAAATCTTCTTTAGTTTAAAAGAGCATTTGTCTAGGCTAAAGGCTTTATAACATAATGACGACCAAATTAACGGTAAGAGCAGACAACGGCCAGTCCATTTATATATAAAAACTGTTTGTCTTAATGAAGCAATAACTCATACAATAATGGTACAGGGACTTGGTAAATGTATTTAACGTAAATTAGAAACGCTATAAAGATTAAATAATGATTGATAGAAATATGTTGCCTGATGAAGTTAAATAATAATTTATCGAATCCCTTAATGTATTAAATTAAAAGTGAGGAAGAGGAATCCACAGCCAATTGGTAGTACTTACTAAAAATTTCAATACATGAACTGTTCATAGCTTTTACTTAAAATTAAATATTTGTTAATTGCTGGTAAAATAAGTTTGAAAGTATTTATCGCGCTTCAATATATGATACAAATATGCAATATGGACGAAGGATGGTGTACTGTTCTTCTTACCTAAAGGAAGAATCTTCGACCAGGGCAACTATAGACTGGGTAGCCCGAAGGGCTTAGTGGCTTAGGTCCTTAGCGGCCAGAATAACTTCGTTAGCGCGTTTCAAGGCATGACGTTGTCGTAGTGATTCGTAGGCACGAATTGTAGGTGTACCTACACTAATATTATGGAAACAAACTGCTAAAATAGCCCAATGGATGAAGTTGGCGTCCACACCCCACTTCGACAAGCCTAAACATCATCCCAACCCGTTGGTGCGTAAAAGCATCAATTATTAAATACATTATACATCAAAAAAGGCTTGAAGGAGGCCCCAACATGTCCTAACGGATCCGGATGATGCAATTAGCGTAGCTAATGACAAATTAGCGCGGCGGAGAAAAGTCAAAATTAGATTAGGGTAAATAACCGCCTTCACCGGGGAAGTGGTAGACCTTGACGTTGTACTTCACTCAATCCAGTGAGCTTCCGGCCTGCCCTTCAGGCGATTGACCAACCCGTTACGGGCCAAGCCGAGGTCCGAGTCTCGTAATATTATATTATATTCATGTAAAAATTATCATGTAATTTTTTTTTATTTTTTTATTATCATCTTTTTTTAACTAATTTAAACATGTACCACGTAATAGTTTTCTAGTTACCCACAACACAGGGCCTCCCTAGTGTGGGGATTAGCGATATATGAATTCTGTCACAAACCCTTTTGTCATAAATAAAGTTTTTATTATTTATTATTATTAAATAAATGACTACGATTGACAGCCATTTTCGCGTTAATCAGCAATTACTTATCGCACCTCAATATGCAATCTGATAATCATTTCACTATTTCATAGAACATGAATCCACATGAAATAGCGGGTGTTATGTCCTAACCGCAAAACACAGTACAAAACACCAAAATTTATACGAACGTAAATGGGATGGATATATTTGCGGTGAATACTAGTGTTTATTAGATCTACAAATTTAGACAGCTATGAATTATGATTATTGCTTCTGCTGGCTGTATTTTAATAAAATTTAGAATACAACTAATAATAAATCGGTATTATATTGCTAAAATAGTAAATAACTTACTCAACAGTATCGAAGTAGGGAAGGCCCTCCCATTATACATAAGATGTTTTAAAAGTTAATTACAAATTTTATAAAATCTTCAATTTTTATTTAAATTGAGTTATTATGTAAATAATTAAATCTCTAGTTACTAACCTTTAAAGCTAATTGTACAACTATCGTGGTAATACTTCTATATGTCCGCTACGACAGAACGATTAGAAACGTTAATTTCTCTTGATGGGGATTGGTCAGTGTCTCTAGTCCAATCACAGACGCAATAAACGTTATGATTATCAGCCAATCAAAAACAAACGAACCAAGCTATACTATATATAAAAAACGTTTATGCAACGTTAAAATTCAAAATTCACTAAAAGTATTAAATAACAATATTGCTTATTTCTATTGCTGGGTCTTATCTTGGGATAATTGTTTATGTTAAAAAGAGTATTATGGGTAACGTAAAACTATAACTAAATTCAAATTAAATTAGGAAGTAAAGCGTGAAAATCCTCAAACTTTCGCGTTCATATTATTAGCAAAATTGGATTTCAATTAGTGCTATTTAGTTAAGCTTAGCTAACTGGATTTTCACAGCTCAAATTCGCTTTTTTAACTAGAGAATATATAACGATATACTAGCAGATAAGATAAAATTACTTTTGTAGAGTATTTCTAATTCTAATCCTGTAATTAAAGCCACAGAAGGGTAATGTTTGATTCTTAAGAGGTAGATTTTTATTTAAATTATCTATGATCACACCATCACTTGTAATCTGTGGAACGAACTCTAGGTAGGTACATATAAATAATAATCTGTGTACATGTATTTAAGTAACAGTTCTTTAAATCAATATATTTCTATTTTTTAAATGATCTTGAACATGGAACTTGTCTGCTTCAATTATTAGCAAATTTTTTTTATTATTTAATTGTTTTTAGAACTTGACTGTTGCATACAGTTACAACCTGTATTGTTTGACATATTTTGTCCTTTGAGACTGTAACTAATTGAATGTTACTTTGACTAAGAATGTGTTAATTATTCCATATTAAGCCATTAATTAATAAGCTTTACATATATTATCAACTGTGCTATTTCATTTGTTTATTGTTTGAAATGTCAAATACAGTACACTGTTGAACAACGAATTATAAATATTATTTACAGTGCAACTAAGAGTTGCCGCTCTATATTAATATAAAATCAAAGTAAAATATATTTAAGTTGATGGCATTGAATTTTCATAGGGAATTATTAATAAAAAACATCATTTTAGAAACATTTTTATTTATCCACATCGTTGCACACCAGCAAATAATAAATATATAACATAATAAGGTATTACATCTGAAAATGGAACAGGCGGGTTTGTTTCTTGTTAGCCATTAGGCAACCCGTTAAAGAGTTGAGAGTGTAAAGAAGAAAGGCAAAATAAGAAACAAAGGTGATACGCAATGATTACAAATATAAAGTTAAAGACTGGCAACACACTTACGAGCCCGCTGGCATTGCGAATCAATGGGTAAATGGTCGGTGGTATCACTTAACATCAGGTGAGCCTCCTGCCCGTTTGCCCCAGTTCTATGTAAAAAAATCAATAAAAAATAAAGACCAATGTAAATTCAGTAATCAATATCGTATTAGAACTACAATCAGGTTATGTCTACTCAGAATCGGCATACTAACTTATATTTGCAGTACTCCTTGTTGCAGACGGTGGTGGAAGCTTGCCAGAAGAAACGCCAGTGCAAGTTCCATACAAGTCCAAAGGCGTTTGGCGTGGATCCATGCCCTGGTTCTAGAAGATTCGTCGAAGTTGCCTACAAATGCCGACCATGTAAGTTGACAAAGGAGAATGTAACCTTCCGTGAACCTAAAGGGGAATCAGGACCCTAACTATTGATTAGCCCGAAGGCAGTGTCTAAGGTCCAAGGTAACGGTCGGAATAACTTGATTATCATGAGTCAGGATATGACGTCATCGCAGTGCTTTTAGCCGTAGATTGTGGGTGTCTTATTCTTAAACAAACGCCCGGCAACGCACCCACTAAATAGATGTCCATGACCTGTGATGACTACCCCTTTTTGGGCGTCCCTTAGGCTCATTTACTCACCTATCCTAGGACAAATAACCGAGTAAACTTTTTAAAATGCAATCCACTAGGTCAAATAGAGAATATAAATAGGGTATAGTTGCTGCTTAATATTCATCTCTATTACCACTCATTACGATTGCAAATCCCACAGACGAATTCCGGAGCAAAGTGGGCTGTGAAAACGACGTGCTTCATTTGAGCTGTAACCCACACTCCCGGGTGGCGATATACTCCGCACAGTATGGAAGGACGGAATACGACTCGATACAATGCCCTCAACCTCGAGGGATGAAGGAGGAAAGTGAGTATTTATTTACTAAGCGGGAATTCTTAATGGATTTCTTATTTGTTGAACATGAACTATACTTAACCTAATCTGTATATTCCGAAGTAAAAATCAGTCTAATTATATTGAAGTACCGTTCTTTCATCAGCGTAAACATAATTTGTAATTAACAAACGAACGCTGATATATCACTGATTTTGTTTATGACTATAATGATTCAAACTTTCGTTCGTCGAGGTTTAATTTTCAAGGCTTTATAAAATGTCAATTTCGTTAATATCAAATACATGTCTTTACTAATACTTGTAATGTAATGCATATTAAAAAGCCGAAGAGCTTATTTGGTTTAATGCACTAATCTACAAGTATTTTATTGTTTCTATATTTTTATTTTGTGTTAGGTGCACGAAAGGAAAAATCAATTTGTGTTGTCCCTTAGACCTCTCTACCTCAAAGTTGAGAATAGCACGTTTAGCTGCTTGCCCATATATTAATAATTACGAAATAAACCAACCATAATTGACTTACAAGTTACAAGTACATTTATTCAGAAATTAAAATAAAAAAGTTGTAATTTTGAAATACTAACACCTGTTAAATATTTATAATCTAATTAGGCATAATAAAACATTTTCTCGAGCGGTAAAACTTCAAAAAACAAATCATTTTTGCAAAAATACCGGCTTATTTTATAATCCTTGGAAGACTCCAGTCTCTTGATAAATAAAGTAATTCAAAGTAATGGCTCTACAAGTTTTCCGTGTATAATTTATTTTCTAGTGTATACGGAACTTCTGAGGTTAAAAGGGACTTTATGATATCAAAGCAACTTTTTACCTATGCTTTACCAATCGTGAAGATAAATTCCTAATACATCTTCCCATCCCTTAAGTTAAATAATCATATTTCTAAGTAACATTAGGATAAGACCTAGCAAAAGCTCTTAGATAAATTATTGATATTAGGTTATATATTATATATATTATTAGGTTATAGGGTAAATTTCTTGTTACAGCCTGTATGGAGCCTTACGCAACTGAGACTGCTATGAGAGAATGTCACGGCAAAAGACGCTGCGTGCTATCAGCAGACAGCAAAATGTTTGGAAAACCTTGTAGGACCGGAAGCAGGACATATTTGAAAGTTGTTTATACATGCGGTGAGTATTTGTTTTGTTAACATATATATATCCAGTCATTTTAGAGCAATATACATGTTTACAGAAATGAAACCCAAGCCCTACATAAGCTAAATATATGTGCTAACTAAGTTATGAAGGCTGTCCTGCATGTGAAAATTGTAATTTCAAATAAGGATTACATAAAATAACAAATTTATTGAAGTCGTACCTACGCTAAAAGTTTTACTATTTCCAAATAAAAAAATACTTTTTTTACTAATCTCAAATGTTAAATTGTTCGTGGTAGCGTTATTACTATAAAAACATTTTTTAAAATCGCGATTAAATTCCCTAAACGGGAGATACGTAACCATTAATTGAAATTTTGAATTTAGAACACAAAACATCGCAAAGTATTAGGCTTAACAGAATACAGCTTTAACCGAACAAGTGTTTGGGAATTTTTATTGCTATTTTCGCTTGTTTTTCCCTTGACCCATGTCTGTTTAATATCTCCGGATAAAGGAAGTTCGATACAGAAATGCTCTCGAAGCCTTAAAGTACACAAGCCTGAAATAAATTGTTGTTTACAACACTTCGACACGAGTTTACGTCAAAATAATGAAATGCTGAGTCGAAAACGTGCACTACTGGTCTGATATAAAAAAAAACTAATTTTCTAAAAAGGGATTTTATGATTTATAGATTGACTTTTGAAAGTTTAGATGATACATAGAGATGAGGGCTGGGATATGATAGTGTAGGAAGAAAAGTAGTAATAGCAAATAAAACCCCTCATGACTTGTGTTGGAAGTTCTGTCTAAAAAGCAAGATTTGTCTCTTTTCCTTGTTTGTAGGTAATTTATATGTTCTAATGTAATTCACGTGGATGGTACAATTTGTAAGACGATATAATTTTCTTGTGATTTAAGCTTGCATATTATTTTAGTAATACAAAAAAAAACATAATAATAAAATAATATACATTGAAATAAATAACTAACCTTAACATAAACTAATATATATTATTAAAAGGAGTCCCTTTAGGCAAGGTTCCGAAGATACTGGCAGCGTTCCCCCTTTGTATCGCTAGACTAATTCTTTGTCCGAGGTAGCTGCCAGATCTTCGGTCTCCTGTGATGTCGACTAACCTTTTTGCTATGTCTTTAAAAAGCCTTAAAGCGCTAGGACCCCACGGACCAAGGGTCTCGACACCGAATGGGACAAAATCATATTCTGAGCCTAGACCCCTGTATTTGCATGCTTTAGTTTTTTCAGACGCTTGATAAGAAATAATATTATTATTAATATTTTAGTAATTATTAGATAAAATAATGATATTGTCGATATAATTCAATTACTATCGTCACCTCTGTGGCTGTAAAAATCACTTACGGTGTATACGATCCACAAGAAATCGAAAAATAAGCCAATGGCAATCTAAAAATTTGATGCCAGTTATTGGTTATTTTCAAATATATGTGGCCAATTATAATTAAAATATACAGTATATAAATCGCGATCTGTCTACGCCATCAAGGAAGGCTCTTATAATTGTAATAATAAATCGATTTAATGGTAATAAAAAAGTAAATTGATCTTCGATTAAAGGTGCGGTAATTTGAAAGTAGCGTGTCTGCCTTTCTCGATAAATGGACTATCCAAAACAAAAATAATTTTTCACTTAGAGCCACTTAACGTATTGGTACGTAAACAGTCAGTTCCGAAGATTTTTAATCCATGTATTATCGTAATTATCTCTAACGAAGCCGTTTAAAAGTTGAAGGAAAAACTAGTTAAAATAGACTTTTCAACTATAGGAAATTTTAATAGTATACGATTTATTTATCCTTAAAAATAAACATAGTATTTTTTTAGTTTAGTACTATAAGTAATTTGAATGAATGTATTTCTTAGCAAATATTGTGTAGACTCGCTTATTATACACCAACGGCAACGCATATTTATTATCCTATCATTTATTATTTTCCGACCTTTAATAATTTAAAAATATCTTTGAATTTCAACTAGTTTATCAAAAATATGACCTAGTTATGCGATATCAATATAAAAATCAAAGTTTATCCGTCTCGAAGTAGTCTTGTATACAAAAGCACTTAACGTTGCACAACTTTCAATAAATCGCACAATATTTTCAAACTTAAACTATCTTATAATACTTTTAAACTTGCAGAGTGTGTTCCAACTTTTTCTCCATCTGTTTATAAGCTCCTGTTTATTAAGACTGCATAGTTGGTGCAGTGGGCTTTTTGCCTGTGCTAATATTATAGATATGTTTTTTAATCTCAAAAGCTGTGAATTCAAAAATTCTTTAACTATTAGAATGCTACATTTTCTCCTAGTAACAAAAAAATAAGTATCAAGTAGAGACAGTCTACCTAGCGTTACATTATGTGTTATCTCGTGCTCGTGAACGGGTGCTGCTTGTGGTGACTGGTTGTACTTGAATTCGTGTATGCGGTGATGTTGGTTATTTCGACTAATTGTTTGTGTGTTGTTCCCACGAGAATTTAAGTGCGTGCTCCTATTTCACCATGCCTTCTGCTGATAGAGGACAAATCTTTGTTTTTAATTTATGTTATTATTATTAATTACTTAAAATGTTACATGGGACATGGTGTAATGGTTGCAGCTCCTTACAAACATTCTGTAAAACAAAAAAAATGGCGATTAAAAAGAGTGGCGGAGAGTTTATTGCCAGTTCTTTTCTCCCGTTCTACGCCCTTGATTTGAGAACTGGCATTAAATGTAAAATTAGAAGCATTAATATGTATTTCTTTACTGACAAGTCATAAGTGTACATTATGTTACCTATGTGATTAAATGATTTTTTCATTTTATTTTTTATTTTATTATACATAGGACGATATAGAATATAAAGTGAGTCCTGAGTGATACAAAAATACATAAGAAGGAATAAAAAAAAATATTAATTCCAACACTAATATATAGTATTCACAATATTCTTACCCCACATACAATAATAATAAAAAAATATTAATAGAAAATTAAAACGAATTTGAAAAGTTTTGTCTCTGGTGAAACTTTAGTATATAACCTCATCCAGGCTTAGTTACTGTATGTTGACATACGTTTTGACAAAAATTATGACACATTCGAACACCAACACCTCTTGAGAATATATTATGTTGAATAGTATTATGTTCTAAAACAGATTATTGAAGTGAAAACTTAAAATACAGATTTATTGAAGTGAAAACTTCTTTAGCGGCGTTGTACACTTTTTTTGGAATGGGTAAAAAATGTTGAACTCGCGTCAGGACACGTGACCTGATCGAAAATTTGTAAGACGGGTGGAGAGACAGCTGGCGCTGCGTATTTAATGTAATATAAATTGTCATGTTTGTGTATGATAGCGCAATAAATCAATATTGTATTCTACCACATAAATGATAGTACTTTTATACTGATAATTAAAGCAATTCGTGCAAAATTATTCCCTAACCATTCCAAAATATCAAAAATGCACAACGTTTATGTTCAAGTTTTCACTTCTACCGGCATTCCTGGAGTGCAACCCGTCGTTTTTTTTATCCATCTCTTTAGTCAGATAAAACTGATATGTATTTATAAATAAATAACTACGATTTTAACAGTCGGTAATAAATCAGTAAACGCTGAGACATTTCGGGCTCGTAGACAATCGTTAACACGCTTAAGAGCAATATGAACCTAAGGCGACCTTCTTAGCAGTCGTAGCAGATAAATATAATATACTAGTGGACCCCACAGACGTTGTCCTGCATGATATTTAAAGCGATTAGGATATTAAGCAAAGTATGAAAGTACCGACTGCAGTGCCATCTGCCGGGCTGATTTGTGAATCTAAACCATTCCCAGATCCCCTTGAACACACACAAAAAATTTCATCAAAATCGGTCCAGTCGTTTAGGAGGAGTTCAGTCACATACACACGCACACAAGAAATATATATATTAAGATTATTTTAGCCAATGGAGAAAACATACGATGGACTGGACTGGACAAACTCATTTCATACTTTATTATTTGTCAAGTTTAATTCATGACATTACTCCTATTTCACCATGCCTCCTGCTGAAAGAAGACAAATCTTTGTTTTTAATTTATTTTACTATTATTTATTACTTAAGATGTCATGTGGAACATGGTGTAATGGTTGCAGCTCCTTACAAACGTTGTGTAAAACAAAAACTTGGCCATTAAAAACAGTTGCGAAGAGATTATTGCCAGTTCTTCTCTTCCGTTCTACGCCCTTGATTTGAGAACTGACAGTAAATGTAAAATAAGAAACATTTCATGTACATTTCTTTTTTTTGACGTTTATAAGTGTACATTCTGTTACCTACGAGTTATTGAATATGAATACGAGTATGTTCTTGTCAAAGCGTGTTGTCACATTTAAACATTGAATCATTACTTTCATATGGGATTTATTATGTTTAATTCTCGCTGTCAAATGGACATGAAGCAACTTTTCAGTTACAAACCGAAAATATCCTTCCTAAAATAATGGTTGATTCAAAAAGTTTCCCTTGTCCTTATTTAGAATCTATTTATATATATACAGACTGAATCATCAACTCAAGGCCTAACACACAGGGGTGAAAACTGGTTGGCTGTCGCTTTTTATGACAAAAATAACTAGAAACATTATTGGAAATTTCACAGTTTATAAGAAATACCCGACATAGTCATAGGATCACGTTAGATACGAGCTAGTTTTATATAAATGAAACATTGGTATAAGGTAATGTTAGAAGTTCCGTTAACGCCCATAGGAAATACATATTATCTGTGTTTATTGATCATAGATAACTTACTCTTAGTGAGTCGGCCGTCTGCCTTTAAATCTAACAGCACGAATATTTTTGACGTTAATGACAACTAAAATTAAGCCATGGAGGCGTTGGAGAAACGCTTCGGCTTCCACGGTCTGCTTCGCAATTTTTTTGCGAACTAGCGAACTGTGGAGTCGACTCCCTGTCTTTCCTGGGAGAAACGATTACCAATTCATTAAAGTATACTCCTCCTTCAAAGGACGGTATCGCACTGAAATGGGTGAACTGGATGCGATGACTGAATTTTTTGGGCGTCTTATAATAATAATAATAAAGCCCGTTTTATTTCCAATCATGACAAAAAAATTAAAATAAAAGCTTAGATTATTTTACATTTTATTATTTTTATCTTGTTATCCTATATCCTAGTTACCTTCAGAACCGTCGATCGGAACCCCTTCACGGGTAAAGGCCTGCTCCAGCTTTTTCCAACGGACTCTGTCTATGGCTCTCTTTCTCCATTCGTTTCCTGCTACCGCTTCTATTTCTTCTATCCACCTTTTTTGGGTGAACTCTTATCTTTATTCCCCTTGGTCCTCTCCTTTAAAGTCCAACTTTTATCTGTATATCTTGCTATATGCCATTGCAACTTCTATTTTAGGGCATAATAATATGGGCGTCTCGTAGGTATATATAAATACGTATAATGCTACTTGATAACAATGAGCCTTAATCTCGGAACCTTAAATAAATAAATGTTATTACATTAAATAAAACTGTTAAGAGATTGTTTGCAACGTGATCGTTTTTGTAACAAAGACATTTAGGAGAATCGTAAAATAATACTGAAAGTTAAACATATTTTATGGTTACCAGTTGTTAAATATTTTGTAGTTTACGACGTCATTAACAACCAGACTGAACTTTAGCAGTAAAAACAATTTTTTGCCTCGCGCTTCGGGCGAAAAGTGCCTCTCAATAATTATGTTTATTACATTCAAATTTAAATATTAGTTTTGCCTTTTCAAGCTTAAATAATATTACTGGATTTTATTACCCTGTATATCCGTTTTAGGCGCTCACGTCAATTTAATTAATTAATTAAAGAGAGCGTCTTAGACATGCCCGTTTCCTTACGATTCTTTCCTTCACCGTACGAGTGACAAACGCGCAAATAGACAAAAAGTCAATTGGTCCACAGCCGGGATTCGAACCTACGACCGTATGTTGTAGCCACTAGACTAGACCTACACCACTCCCCTGCTAACGTAACATTTTTCCAGTAAAGTAAAACTCTTAGTTGTAAAATATATGATTGAAAACGTAAGATAAGACCCGTAGGTAACTCAATTGTAAAAATCCAGTCCGCCGGGCGTCGTACGTGACATAAAAACCGCCTCAAGAATCGTGTTCTAGTCTTGTTCAGACTTCTAGCTCTCAGTTGTCTAGTCTAGCTATCGATTATAGGGGAGAGTTGGATAATACCGAGCCCCTAAAGACTTGGACCTATAATTAGGAAACCGTTTGATATTAAAAGAAACAAAATAGAGTAATTAGCTGGACATTTATTCAGGTACGCATACCGTATAGTAAAAACTTCCAAAATTTAAACAAAATGTTATTATTACCAATTAAAAAAAAGTAAAAACGTGGTATTGTGAAACTGGTCTGATAATATCGTGCCCACATTAATTGCATACAAATGGGTGTGTAATAAAAGTTAAAATAAAAAAATGAATACCATTCTAAGTAATTTTCTTGCGAGAAGATAGGGAAACCCAAATTCTTTCTAGAAATGAAATCATACATAACTCTTTTTTCGAGGTAAAACAAGTTAATATAAATAAAACATACTTTTCATAGTTTACAATTTCGCGCCCTATTCGCGCGGAATTATCAAACTACGTCATTTTATTTTTTAACCTCAAAATTATATGGAATATATTATAGAGTAAAAACGTATTCTGTCATAAATTCTACAGTATACAAGCATTAAAAATGTATAGTATCAAAGTATCACAATATAAATACAGTATTATTTATCTCTTTACGGACAGCAATGGCGGTGCGCGGGGAAGGGTGTAGGCTTGTTCAGCTTCGATGTATATGTTAAGATATGTTTACTTGTATCAAAATAGTCTACTTGATATCAGTCTGTGCTACTTGTAGTCTGTGCTAGTATGTAGTCTGTACATTGTACAACCAATAAAGTCTCTTTGTTCTCAATCTGCAACTCATTCGTTTTATTAGGTTATGGGCCCAGTGAAAAACTAATTAAATAATATTACAGTAAATTCATATCGTGTGTAAGAAAATAAAATATAATGTCGTCGTCAGGCAGTTATTTAATAAATGTGCCGAAGTTGAAGGGACGCGAGAACTTTGATGACTGGGCGTTCGCGGCAAGAAATTTTCTCATCTTGGAAGGTATAGACATCGATGCCATTCCTGTGGATTTAAGTGATGCAGAAGACAGAAAAGCGAAAGCAAAACTCATCATGACGATTGATCCCAAGTTGTATGTTCATATAAAAAATGAAACTAAAGTCAAAGATTTGTGGCAGAAACTACAGAAATTATTTGATGACAGCGGATTCACCAGAAGAATCAGTCTACTAAGAACATTAATATCCATTCGACTTGATAATTGTGAGTCCATGACAAGTTATGTGAGTCAAATTGTGGAAACTGCACAAAGACTGAAAGGTACAGGATTCGAGATTAATGAGGAATGGATTGGATCATTATTGTTGGCGGGGCTACCAGAAAAGTTTGCGCCTATGATCATGGCAATAGAACATTCCGGTATAGCTATAAACTCTGATGTCATCAAAACAAAATTGCTTGATATGAGTTCTGAGGTCGGTGACCATGACTCGGAAGTTGCATTATTGTCTAAGCATAAAAGTAAGTTTGGTCAAAATTTGAATAGAAAAGGCGCGAAACAAACATCTAATCATATGTCAAATACCAAGAAGGTTATAAAATGCTATAAGTGCAAGAAAATTGGCCACTTCAAAAACCAATGTCCTGAAGTTAAAGAAAAGCAAGTAAACGCATTTAGTGCTGCATTTTTTAATAGTGAATTTAATAAGGATGATTGGTATATCGACTCAGGGGCTAGTACTCATATGACATCATGCAGAGAAAATTTATTGGAAGTGAGAAAAGTACACGATATGAAGGAAATTATTGTTGCAAATAATATGACTGTGCCAGTTGTGTGTGCCGGGAATACACAGATAACTACGCTTGTGAATAATTCTCAGTTTGACATTAAAGTGAACAACATTTTGTACATACCTAACCTGACCACAAACCTATTATCAGTAAGCCAGCTAATAGCAAAAGGAAACAAAGTTATTTTCAAAAGTGATGTGTGTTATATACATAATCAACGGAATGAGCTTATTGGAATAGCAAATTTAAAGAATGGTGTGTATAAGTTGAATACAGTTAAGTCAGAGAAAGTGTTGGCCGCAGCAGTTCAAATTACAGATGCAAAACAGTGGCATAGGAGATTAGGTCATATTAACAGTAATGATTTGCAGAAGATGAAAAATGGTGCTGTAGATGGCATATCATTTGATATGAAGGCTGATATTCAGAAAATAAACTGCCAGGTATGTTGTGAAGGGAAACAGAGTCGTTTACCATTCCAATTAAGAAACCATAGAAGTACAGAATTGCTAGATTTAGTTCACTCAGATCTGTGTGGGCCTATGGAGGTTCGATCGATTGGACAGGCAAGATATTTTCTATTGTTTGTTGATGATGCTAGCAAGATGGCATTTGTATATTTTCTAAAGGAGAAGAATCAGACTCTACAGTATTTCAAGGAATTTCAAAGAATGGTTGAGAAGCAAAAAGGAACAGGAATAAAAACATTGAGAACTGACAATGGAGGGGAGTTTTGCTCAGATATGATGGAAAATTATCTGAAAGATAGTGGAATCATCCATCAGAAGACAAACCCATATACTCCAGAGCAGAATGGTGTCAGCGAGAGATTCAACAGGACAATTGTTGAACGTGCAAGATGTTTATTGTTCGAGGCAAAGCTGGGTAAAAGCTTTTGGGCAGAAGCAGTTAACACGGCAGTATACTTGAAAAATAGATCGCCAGCTTCAGGTTTCGACCAAAAGACACCGATTGAAGTATGGACAGGACATAAACCTGACCTCAGTCATGTCAGAATATTTGGGAGCCCTGTAATGATGCATGTTCCTAAAAATAAAAGATTTAAGTGGGACAAGAAAGCAGTTAAATACATATTAGTGGGATACTCGGAAAATGTGAAAGGTTACCGATTATACAACCCAGAAACTAGAAAGATATGTACCAGTAGAGATGTCATTATAATGGAGCAAGATACTACTGAGATAGAAATAAACGAAGGACAGATAAAAGAACAGCAATCAGTAGAAGAGGAAAGTTCTATGATAGAAAGTGACAATACATTAACAAATCAGGATGATCCTACCTATGCATATGATTCAGAAAAAAGCACAACTTCAACTGAAGGAGAACTTTATCATACATTAAATGAAAAAGAAGATCTATCTGAAAATGAAGAGCCTCCATTGGTGGGAAAGCGTATCAGGAAACCTCCTGAAAGATATGGTTTTACTAATCTTTGTGTTTCAGATGAATCAGAATCTTGGGCTGAAGACATAAGTTATAATGAAGCTACCAACGGTCCAGAGAAAGACAAGTGGCAGCAGGCTATGTCTGATGAACTTCAAGCATTTGAGGATAACCAAGCCTGGGAGATTGTCAGTCAAGATGAGGCAGATAGAGTAGTACAATGCAAATGGGTGTTCAAGAAAAAGCCAGAAAACAATAACAGTGTCAGGTATAGAGCAAGACTTGTGGCGAAAGGTTACACTCAACAGCACGGAGTAGATTTTAATGAGACCTACTCACCTGTTCTCAGGTACTCTACACTTAGATTATTGTTTGCAATAAGTGTAAAATATAATTTTGAAATCACTCATCTTGATGTAGTTACAGCATTTTTAAATGGTTTTTTAACAGAAAATGTATACATGCAAGCACCTGCTAATTTAAATTGTCCGAGTAATTGTGTTCTTAAACTTAAAAAGGCAGTTTATGGTTTGAAGCAGTCTGCTAGGGCATGGAATGCTAGAATAAACGATTTTTTGATAGATTTAGATTATAAAAAGTCAGTATCAGAACCATGTTTATACAGTAAAAAAATGTAAGAATGAGCAGATTATCATTGCAATATTTGTTGATGATTTCTTTATTTTTTCTAATTGTAAAACTATGACTAATGATCTTAAGAAAAAACTTATGTCTAAATTTAAAATTAAAGACTTAGGTCAAATTAAAAGGTGTTTAGGCATGAGAGTGAAATGTGAAAATAACTGTATATCTATTGATCAGGAACAATTTGTAAAACAAATTCTTAAAAAGTTTTATATGACTGATTGTAATACTAAAGATACTCCTATGGAATGTAATTTGAAATTAGAAAAGGCAGAATGTGTTGACAAACAGTTTCCCTATCCACAGCTTATAGGAAATCTTATGTATTTGTCAGTATTAACACGTCCAGATATATCATATAGTGTGAGCTACCTTAGCCAGTTTAATAATTGTTTTAGTTCAGTTCATTGGCATCATGTAAAAAGAATTTTAAAATATTTGCAAAAAACTAAATCTTATGGTTTGAAGTTTACTAAAGATACCTGTAATTTAGAAGGTTTTGTAGATGCTGATTGGGCGTCGAATACTGTAGATAGGAAATCCTACACAGGATTTTGTTTTAAATTGTCAGGCTGTGTGATATCCTATGAATGTAGGAAGCAACAAACGGTAGCTTTGTCAAGTACCGAGGCCGAATACATGGCCATTGCTGAAGCATGTAAAGAGGCAATATATTTAAAAAGTCTTATATCAGATATTATTGGTTGTAACTATACTGTAGTAATTTACAATGATAACCAGGGAGCCAAGAAGTTGACAGAGAATCCTTTGTTTCACAAACGAACTAAACATATAGATGTTCGCTACCACTTCATACGCGAAGCAGTCTCTAATAGCCTTGTTAAAATTGAATATCTTTCAACATCTGAGATGCCTGCTGATATATTAACGAAAAGTTTGAGTGCTGCCAAACATAACTATCTTATAAAATTATTAGGAATTCAAAATGTTTAAAATTGTCAAAGTTGTTAGTTTTATTACTGCTTAGTATTTGATTATTTTGATAAGTGGTGCTGTTAAGATATGTTTACTTGTATCAAAATAGTCTACTTGATATCAGTCTGTGCTACTTGTAGTCTGTGCTAGTATGTAGTCTGTACATTGTACAACCAATAAAGTCTCTTTGTTCTCAATCTGCAACTCATTCGTTTTATTAGTAGGTATGCACTTCATCGTAGAACTAGTGGATAGTTTTTGACTTACGCTGCCGCGCGGATTTATCAACCGCGCGGTATTATCCAACTCTCCCTACTTGTGGAAAAATATATATATATATCCATCAAAATACGTTTAAGATCACGAGTTAATCGGCGTGTTTTAGACCCAAACAATGAAACAAGTTTCATTAAAATCCCATAGAACATAAGTGACATTTTCATACAAAAAATCTGATAAATATATTGCGCAACTATGGTGAATATTATTATTGAGCTTAGTTTCCTAATACTTTCGACACTATGATAGGACCAGTAAATACATCGTATAAAATAAACAGAAACCCTTTCTCAGATAATACAATATATCATTCTCTTCGCTAAGTGACTGGTTATTTGAGACTCCGAACGTCCACGATAATTGAGCTGGCGAACAAGAATAGATGTATAGAGTTGCAAGTACGTAATAGTTGATAGAAACGTATGGGTTTCAATGAAAAGACAATATATTTTTAATATGAATTAATTTGCGGTGTAAATGCGACTCCGAATTTGTTCTGGTCCCTTGTAAATGTAAAGATATATATATGAAGTGACTTAGTGGTTAAACTTAGATATTATTCTCAAATGATTATACATTCGAATCGATGTGTGATTTTTTTTTTCTATTTGCGCAATGGAATTGAATTGAAATCGGACGACGAAATTCCACCCGTATCACCACGATGCGCACCACTATGTGGAACAGCCCACTGAAGTATTTCCGAACCAATTTGACTTAGACCACTTAGACAAAGACAAGAGCGTACCAATTCTTTGAAGGCAGAAAACGCACTCGCGAGCCCTCTGACATTAAGAGTATCCATTGGGGGCGCTATTATTTGACATCGAGTGAGCCGTTTGGCCCGGCATTTCTTAGATCTATAAATCGATGACGTAATAACAGATAATCATCTGTATGTCTCCACTCTAGAATCTATAGAGCGTATCTATCTATTTGATTCTGCATGGACGGACTTAGTTCGGCTTATGATTGGCGAGAGATTATTAATAATAATGTACATTTCCAGCAAACATAAACGTAATAATCTTGGATCTATATAATGGAAAATCATGGTTATTATATATCATATATAATATATAAATATGGATATTATATATATGGTATAGTAGATAATAGTAGTAGTAGTCTAATATGTATAGAATTAATATATTTTTATCTTTTTTCATGTAGGTTATTTCCATTTTTGTTATGACTCATTATGACTTTGCTGTGGAACGGAAACCTGGTTATCCATATCACCGGTTCTTACCTAGATTGGAAATCGTCCTATTCCTTATTATCTGTAATCGTATTGTTTGTTTCAAATGTTATATGGGAGAAAAATAAAGAAAATATTATTATTATTATAAGGAATTAAGATAATCCAAGTGTTATATTAAATTTTACTATACACATTTTGACGCGGCAGTACTTATTTGATTGTGTACTTATTTCTATGAATTAATGGTGACAGCTTTAAATTTCCTATTGTAAGTTTATTTTAATTGCCCTTGTTATTCTAACATAGATCCAGGGATTGTATATTACAAATAATGAGTTTAATGTATTAGTCCCGACGTGCGGTTGAATCACCTCCGGCTGTGCACCATCGGATTATGATTTCTAAGTGAAGGAAATCGTGAGGAAGCCGTCACGCCTTACACCCAAAAATCGACGGCGTGTGTCAGGCACACAAGTTGCCTATTTAGAAAAATAAATGATCCCAAAACAGATACAGAAATCTGAGACTTAGACCTTAAAGGTTTTTGCGCGACTGATTGTTTTTATTATTATCACTGACACCGCTTAAACATCATTTTATTATATAACCAAGGGCAAACGGGCAAGAGGCTCATCTGATGTTAGGCTTTTTTAGAATTGGTACGATCTTTTCAAGAAATCCCTAATTCGAATTGGTTCGGAAATACTTCAGTGGGCAGCTGTTGCAACAAAATCCCAAAATCCTCAATTAAAATCCATCTCAATAGATTTGCATTTACATATGTGGATCAAATTCGGCACTAGCTTTGCGAGCTCTTCATATCACCTATATAATTTCAAGCACATAATGAAGCCATAACGATATATCTGTACCGGTACCAGCCAAATTACATCGAATTGGTTAGGCGGTATGCCGAGGTGAGTTAACTGAGCATTGTTCCTCTACGCCGGCTTTGTGCCTTACAGACCAATGGGATTTGATCCCAATCAAGTTTTGGACATTCGTTGAATATTCACAATAGACTCAGTATATTACTCATTTTATCAATGCATCAACCGCAGGGTTTTAACTAAGCAATCCCGTCCTATATTTCAACACATAACAGAAGCAAATATAATTGAAACACTTGTTTAAATAAAGATATCCTAAACTTATTGAAAATTCAAGGACTATTTGAATTATCTTAGATCAAAAATCAATACTTCAAATGTGTGATTTGAAAACTTGGTTGATAAAATTAAAGTTAGTTGATTTGATAGTTTCTAGACAAGGGTGTGTTTTTGAATCAACTTGTAGTTTGAAGTGATAAATATGATGTCAAATTATATTATATTACTATTTTTACCATGTTACATCTTAAAGCAAAACTTACTAATTGTTTAAAGTAATATCAATAAACCTCTTAGGTCTTGACCTCAGATTTCTGAATCCATTTCATTATCATTTTTAAATCTAATAGGCAAGTAGGTAATCAGCCTCCAGAGCATGACACACGCCGTCGACTTTTTGTGTCTACGACATATCGATTTCCTCACGATGTTTTCCTTCACCGTTCAAGCAAATGTTAAATGCGCACATAGAAAGTCCATTGGTGCACAGCCGGGATTGAACCTACGACCTCAGGTATGAGAGTTGCACGCTGACCGCCAACACTGCTCAAAGTAAAATCAATACGTCATTAATAACTCACATACAGTTATTGTGTCAATGGAAGGTGTATTACCGCCAAAAAAAGCAAAATTTTGTACGAATACCATCAAAATTACTAAATCCTTCCGTTATTTAACATTGATAGCGGCTTAATCTGTTTTCACGGACAGATTGAAACCGATACCAGCTAAGTCACGTACGCAGCAACATCACTTAATACTGTAAAAATAAAAGCCACTTAAACCGAGCACCCTTAAACCCAAATCGCCCGACATCTAAAATTAACATCCCTTTTTTGCTGCTAATAGCCCTCGGGCAATTTGAAGCTCTATTAAGTGGTTTTAAGGGCTATAATCTGTTCTCAGTGCCTCGGACGGTCTTGAAGGAGAGATATGAAAGTGCCCCTGAAGAGGATGAGGTAGCCCATGCTGTCTACCCACTTGAGCACGAAGACCTAGGTAAGTGTATTTAAACATTCAAAGCAAGATTTTAAAGATATTGGCAAACTGATCTGATTTGTATGAACTTCAAAAGTTCGATGAATAGTCCAGCCTATATGATAAGGAGACAATAAGGGCAGAGCCGTGATTATTAAATTGTAGATTTTTACATCCGTACCGGAACACGGCATATCTGTAAAGAAAGGTAATGAATGGGGCTTAGGTATATATCCATTTCTCCGTCTATTTCAATACAATTTTTTCAGAAATTTAAAATATGATTCTTATATTTGTTTTTTTTATATGAGAAAAAGTGTTATATTCCTTTGTAATAAGCTTCTATGCTATAATGTTATATCTGTAAATGTCTCATTTTTGTAAAATGTACATATTTTAAAATTTGTACACAAAAATAATAGTCTATTTATAATTAAAATACGAGTATTAAACAACGGTTTGACAATTCTCTCTATAGGGTTGAATCATTAAATATCTTGGCTGGTCAAAACAAAGAAGAGTTTGAATCGATCAACTGACTTTCATAACAGAGACAAAATTCCATCAAACATTGTTATTTGAAGTATGGGATGCTTTGCGATATTAACAATTTTCATAGAACATATCACACAAGCTCATGTTCCAGGCCGTAACATCTTAACTACCTACCAGAAATAAAAACAGATGACTGTCATATAATTTCCATCCATTTTTTAATTTAATGTCCCCACACTAGGATTCCCTGTGTTGTGGGCAGCCAGTCTCTTTCTTTTGACATGTAAACAGTATTTCAAAAATTATATTAATGGTTCAAAGATCAAGATTAGTACATAAGTCAAGGAAGTAGTACATAAGTAAGTAAAGAATCAAAGATTAGTACATAAGTCGTTATAAGAAATATAGATATTATTTGAAAATAATATTCAACAAATAAATATGGTTTTAGTGGTTAGTATATAATATATAAGTAGAGCAGTGTTGGCCTAGTGGCTTCAGCGTGCGACTCTAATACCTGACGTCGTAGGTTCGATCCCCGGCTGTGCACCAATGGACTTGCTTTCCATGTGTGTATTTAACATTTGCTCGAACGGTGAAGGAAAACATCGTGAGGAAACCGACATGTATTAGACCCAAAAAGTCGACGGCGTGTGTCAGTCACTGGAGGCTGATCACCTTACTTGCCTATTAGATTTAAAAACTATCATGAAACAGATTCAAAAATCTGAGGCCAAGACCTAAAGAGGTTGAAGCGCCACTGATTTATTTTATTTTATATATAAGTAATATGTATAATAAAAGTAAAGATTATATAAACAAAACCGTTTTATTTAATGTTTTCAAATAAAAGCTGAATTTTACATTTACAACACAAGGATTACAGAAAACTTGAGCAAACAATATTCAGTGCTACTTAAGATTTGCATACAATATTTTATGCTCGCGCAATCGTAAAAATACGTTCTTTATACATGGGTAATCCCCGCTATCCATGCAGTTTGTATTAATGTAAATATTATTTCTATTTTTTATACATATGTATTAAAGTAAAAATTAGCTCCGCTTAAACTCCGAGAAATTTAGGCATATAATAATTAAAGACAAGCAAAAGCAACCAAATAAAATAAGCTGTCACGCTCATACATTTCAATTTTAAACGCAAATTATCGTTTAGATATATTTTATAACTTTTCATAGTTTTCGTAATCTTGAACATTGCTTTTGATTAAGCTTATAAACGCCAAATGTTAATAAAGAATACAAAAGATTCAGACTTCTCTAGCTTCTATTTACCTTGTTCATTGCTAGAACCCATTTTATATTGCAGAGAATATTTCATTTAATTATACATTCTGTAATGTATAATGTTTTATAATCTGTAAACCAAAAAAAATACATATTAGAATATCTATACAAAACTAACCAGCTGCCCACTGAAGTATTTTCGAACCAATTCGACTTAGGGTCCAAGAAAAGAGCGAACCAATCCTTAAAAGGCCGGCAACGCACTCGCGAGTCCTCTGGCATTGAGAGTGTCCATGGGCGGTATCACTGAACATTAGGTGCCTGCCAGTTTGCCCCCTGTTCTATAAAAAACAATATTATCATATCGTTATATTGTATATTATTCTCGCCTTCTATCAAATTCTGGGTTAACTCAGTGGCGACAATACGTTATAGTAGTATATTTAATTGTAGGTGAAATATTGTTTTAATGAATAAGAAGGTAAGTTTACAACAATATTCGTAAGGCAGTAACAGTTAAAGTAGGTGTTTCTGCTTTGTAGATTCAACGTTATTTCTATCAAAAAATTGTCCAGTTCCAGTCCAAAGTTCAGTTGTCTAAGGCAAGTTGAAAAGCAAAAGTTTTTACGTTACTCTTAGCTTCGACTCATTATGAACTGTCTTAATATATATGTATGTTACTGTCTTTTTTCCAATGCAAGCTTGTAAACTTATTGCCTCACCCTACAAATTTAATTCTATGTAACCTTAATTCTCAGGCATCTATCTATCTGTTTAAAGCATTCAAATATATTATTATAGGTATTTATAATATACTAGCGGACCCGACAGACGTTGTCCTGCATGATATTTCAAGCGATTAGGATATTAAACAAAGTGTGAAAGTACCAACAGCAGCGCCCTCTGCCGGGCTGTTTTGTAAGTCTACGCCATCCAGGGCGCCACCCAAATGGATACAAAAAATATCATTCAAATCGGTCCAGTCGTTTAAGAGGAGTTCAGTGACATACACACGTTCAGTAGAATTATATTTAAAGATATCTGGGGGGCCTGTCCGGTAATTTAATTAGGATTTCGTTAAACGCAAACCATGTGTAGTTATAAAACCAAATAGTAGGTACTTATTTTAAAACGGTTGTGTTTTTCAATATGATTTAGAGAAGACATAAACAGTTTTGATTAGACTACAAATAACAAGTCTGCCAATGTCTGATGTATGAGTAAAAAGCGAACTCCATTTGCTTAACAACACTCTAGGGGGAGGTTTCCGAGATTCCCTTATCGATACGAGCATCCCGAAAAACTATCGACGAATGAGATTCCAACATAAAAGAATTTAATATATTTGTGGACTTCCTTCGTGTACGGTTTGAATTTAGTATATATAGTAATATTAACAAGACTTTCGTCAACATATAAAACGTGGTGTTGATTTGCCTGGAGCAAACAAACAAATTTATATGAGTATTGTCTTTTATTAACATAACTTTTACACATTTAAAGAAAACACTTTTTTAACGGATTGAAGCTATGTATTATTATAAACTTATAATTATTTTACATAACTTTAAATTTTTCCCGACGTCATGTTGAGATTTTAATTTGGATATTATTGGTATATTAATAATATCCAAATTATAATCTCAAGATGAACAATCCGCGAAAATAGAGAACACCGTGAATCATTTCTGCAAAAACCCTCCACCTTTTAGTCGATATCAACTCCGGGGAAATAAATACAGATAATACAACTTTTTCTACAGCTGTTATACTTTTTGACATTCAACACCTTTTGTCTTCAGTCACCGTGACCACGCACGCTGTAAAGCACGCGAAACGTCAGGAAAAATTTAAAATTATGTAAAATTATTATAAGTTTATAATAATACATAGCTTCAATCCGTTAAAAAGTGTTTTCTTTAATTTATATGACTCAAAACTTGGCGATTAAAAAGTGTGGCGGAGAGTTTCTTGCCAGTTCTTCTTGCCCACTCTACGCCCTTGACTTGCGAACCGGTAGTAAATGTTAATTAAGAATCAATTTAACATCTTTTCTGTTGACGTTCATAAGTGTACTTGGTTACCTATATGAATAAAGTTATTTTGAGTTGAGTTTAGTGGACAATGAAAATTACCTTATTTGTAGCCATGGTTATTCAAATCTTTAAGTGAAACATTCACACAATTTAATCCTTCAATATTAAAATTCCTCATATAAATATTTTACTCTAACAAGTCGATAGAAGCTTATATTTTCAAAGCTCGCTTTAATCCTCTCATAATTCGTTTCAGTAGTCTTATTGATTTCCTTGCTTACCTCCTCAGGATTACGTCTGCGTGCAAATGGATTAAGGGATCAAATCTCAAAGCTCTTAGAAAAATCATTTTCTTCGATATAAGAGAGCTACAGTTTTCTTTGGAATTAATAAAATAAACAGAGCTTTCTATTCATAATAATTGAATATACTGTTTGATAATAGTTTGAATTAAAATATCATTATTACGTAATCAACTTTTTTAATTCGATGCTTTTAATAAAACGAAAATAATTACTTTTTGTTAATTTCGCTGTTGAGGATATTAAATTGCGTAGTTATGACAACGTTTTAATAAAGTTATTTCCTTCTCTATGTTTGAAACGAAAATTATTAATGAACAATTGTATTTGAAATATCTATATTGTTCCCTGTATAGGGAACCTATATTTAATAGGTTTTAAATATCTAGAGATTAAAGTAATTTTAGTTTAGTTAAACGTAAATAAATCAATAAAACTTTTTATACATATGACGATTATTTAAGTGACCCTAATCCTTGGGATTTATTTGCCCCAGTTGAAAAAAATTGTATGACTCAAAACTTGGCGATTAAAAGGAGTGGCAGAGAGTTTTTTGCCCGTTCTTCTTGCCCGCTCTACAGACTTGCGAACTAGTAATAAATGTAAATTTAGAATCAATTTAACATCTTTTCTGCTAACGTTCATAAGTGTACTTGGTTACCTATATGAATAAAGTTAGTTTGAATTTGGATATTTATTAGTAAGTGTTTAATGACCAAAGATCAAATCCGATCAAAAACTTTTTATGAAAACGTTGCTGATAAAAAATAATCCGCGACTAATAAAAAAAGGCTTTTTAAGCGCAACGCACTCTTTTCATTATATTTAAAACGTAATCTCACTCACGGGTTCCACAGAAAAAATTGTGTTCACCTCAATAGTAAAATTTTAAAGACAAGATTCAAAAACATTCGACTTAAATAAAATGTTTTGGCAAACAAACTATTATTAATAGATTTTGATAAATGTCCGAAATCACACGCTGATTGTAAAAATTACTAATAATCCGCCTAGAATTATAGTAATAACTATAAAACAAAAGCATTTAGTTTTTGTACCCCGATACGATAATTTAAAATAAACGTTTTGGTAAAATAACTGAAATGTCCGGTAGAACGTGCAAGATGGAAACATTTCTCCACTACGCAGTCTAGTCAACTTACAAGCCGAAACTATACTGGATACTCAATGCCCGGATATCACAGCATTTTGTTTACAAAGCACATGTCACTTCTGGTTATGTCCGTGTTTTGTTTCAGCAACTGTTTCACAATTTAGAAAAAAAAATTTTTTTCCATGATCTCATGCGGTAAAAAATATTTTTAGGTTAATTATTAAATTTATAATTATTTAATTTAACATCGTTATATTGTTATCTGTGTGTAGTAAGGTTACCATTTAGTTAATAACGACATTTTATGGATTAATACTCAATGTGTATTGTGTAGGTCAATTAAATAACCATGCAACGATTTCGTGGTGATTTGGTATGTTGTATGAAATTTATTACCACATATTTTGTTTTAAACGAAAAGTATTATTTCATATGATGTATTATATTTTGTGTAAATATAAGGAACGCTGAAAATAAAAACATTTTTTTGGGTAAAAATTTACTACCACGTAAATTAATTTACACTTTCTACCACCAAAGTCGAAGTTTTGGTACTAGATCGGTATCCATTAGACTTCTCTTTTCATTTTAGAAATTTTCAGAAATTACACCCAAAGTTATTTTTCATAGGTACGAAAGTTGCTACGGATTTAAATACGCTAGCTTTATAATGTATTGTATGTATTTGTTGTTTGTCAACAGATGAACCTGGAGATAGATGGTGGGGAGAATCAGCTGTGCCTCCAGCGCCCGCTGTTGCAGCAGTTCCACCGCAGAGGCCTCACTCCACTAACATCACCAGAGACGAACCATCCCCATCACCCCCTGGACAACATTTGACTAAGAATAGTATGTCATATCGTATATCAAGTTAGATTACGAAATTTTAAGCAAGTTTAAATTCTACATGAAATTATACAGCAATGTTTCAATATCAAAATAAGTCACATTAATTTTTATAATATTATAAAAATTAAAAAATCAGAATCGTTATGATAAAGACACTCGCACAACAAATAAATAAATAAAACACGAATTTACTTACAAAAATTCCCTCATTCTGCAAAATCCGTTCAGTAATTTAATTGTCACGGTGTGCCCTTAGCTTTGGACTTTAACCTCGTATATTTTCTAGATCTTGATAATATTATTTAAGTAGCGCCTATGAATAATATAAACAAGAAAAACTCGTATTTAATCGATGCCATTCATTTTTAAATGCATCCTAAAAATATTTAATACATGCACTACAAACTAACAAGAAATTGCAAATATATTTTTATCGCTAACGGCTAAAGATATCACAAACAGATTGTCAAAGTTATGGGGGTTCTATCCCAAATACGCAAAGTTGTTAATCGATACAAGTAATATAGATTTACGTGCCTCGATGTTAGGGATAAAATGATGGAACTGGTCCCAAACGGAACCGCAAACGTGCCCGTTAAATTTACAAAGTAACCCAAAAAGCGTTCGACTTGAATTTATAGGATTTTTGTTTATTTTTAACAAATTGCCCGTAAATGTTTACCTTATTTATAGCTTTAATAAAATCGTTTACCTTACGCCGTATCTCCGAAAAAGTCTATCAATTTGAAATCCCGCTTTGATGAAGATTTCATTGAATTTTCAACATAATTGAATATCGTAATATAGACTGGAGAGTTGCTGCGTTTCTGTTTGTTATTTTATTACAGATAGTTAGACAGTAATGTTTGAGATTGCGAAGTATTTAGTCAATAAAATTTACCTGTACGAACGGTGAAGGAAAACATCGTGAGGAAACCATGTCAAACCATGTGAAAATATGTCTTAGACCCAAAAAGTCGACGGCGTGTGTCAGGCACAGGAGGTGGTTCACCTACTCGCCTATTAGATTGAAAAATGTTCATGAAACAGATTCAGAAATCTGAGGCCCAGACCTAAAGAGATTGTAGCGCCACTGATTTATTTATTTTAAATGTAGACAGGCTAAACACATTCCATTTTGATACCTTTTACATTAAAATTAATCACTTTTCTACCTTTTCAGCAAGTGAATTCGACATTATGTACTTATACATAATCGGTGGAGTAGCTGTCATTGTTTTACTATGCGGAATCATTGGTGTAATACGCTGCATCATTCATAAACAAAACGCAGACCAGCCCAAAGGCCCAGACGTGTCAGCTACAACTGACATCCCCAACGGCTTCAACGACAGCATATCAGAAGTAGACAATGACATTAATATAACCAGTCTATCTGGACCAATCGATATGACCGATTCAATGAAGCAAGACATCCAAATCACCAACGTAGCCCTCAGTCCAAAAATCAATAGGTACGTCGGTCGCCCGGTACCTAACACGTATCCACACGTAAGCAGTAACATGTATGGACAGGTCTCAGAATTCCCTATTGAAATGCCCCTAAGAACTATGCCACATGGCACATTAGGTCGTGGAGTTGCGGTCAAAACTCTCCCAAGAGTTCAAGTGCAAACAGAAACAGATCCTAATACGAGGAGTTTATATCGCTATTCCAATGCGCAATATTATTTCGGGTGACATCAAGATATCGGCCAGTGTTCGGATGTATCGAGGACTTACTGTTTCTAGATCGTGTAGAACTTATTGTCCTACTTTTAAATACAACTGTGATATTAATTGAAACTTTCCTATTGTGTTGTTCTCAAACTGAAGACACGGAAAAGTTCTGTTATGTTGCAACTTTCGCATTAGATTCTTTACTGTTGCCAACTCTATTTGCTTCCAGTACTTTGTAGTTTGTGGATACTATCTGTTTTATCAACACGATTTAATTCACTTGTTAAATGTCATATTGTTATTACAAATGTTAATTGCTATTATAAATAGTAACTCGTTTGATGAATTAATTACCAGTTAATAAAGTTTCATGTTGGAGGACTTTGTTGGTTCAAATCATTTTGTATAACTAATGTCTATACAAAATGATTTTAATAATGTAAAAAAAGTCTTGTTTTTAGAGTTTGCTTAAAACATAACAAATATATTACTTATCGTTTAAATAGGTTCTAGAAATTTATTTATACTAAAGAAATATGAAATGCAGTGCCTTTTTCGTGTCTTCTAGTTAGGGAACAATTATTGTATATTGAATATAAGAGGTAGATAATTATTAGACTGAGTTTGTTTATTCCTCATTTCTTTAAGAATAATATTAGAACTAAAACTAGAAATCTTTTGTTTAAAAAAACATTCGATGTTTATATTATTAATAAGATACTGCATCTTTTTTTGTTAGTGCTGTCTTAACAAGTGAATATCAACTTACCAAATTTTTTATGTGATATTTAAAATTTCTTCTTTCTACGCTTTTCGTATGCTAACTGAGAAATAACCTTATGAATGACACGGGTAACGAAATGTAATTTCGAAAAGTTAAATCGAATCGTCACGCATTACAGTCAATTTGACATTTGACAGTTAATAGTTGACACTTAATATTTTATGGATAGTTGTTCATGTCAATTTATTTTATTAAAAAAAATATATTTCTCTAACAATGATGTAAAAAAAATAGTTTTTTAACAATAAATTACTTTCATGTCGTGTCATTAAGTCAAATTGACACATTGCGATTTGCGTGACTTGCGCTGTAACCCAAAAAAAATTGACGCCAGTTAGTGACACCACACCAGGCCAAAGGATAGAGTACCTAGTCCTACTTCTCAGGCAATTTGTAAAATTCGGAGTTTCGAAATTAACTGACTTATTTTTAATATTTGTTTACCTGAGACAAAACCAAAAATTCTAGCAAATAAAGTTGTCGCTGGCACAATATGTAAGTAGTCGAATTATAAGAATTATTGGATTATTATTTAATTTGCAACTAATTTGCAAATTAGTTATAAATAAACACAGCGAGTGATTGTTAGTATCGATGTATGTTTGTCCATATCGTTGTTTTAAATAAATTCATTATATTTTTAATCAAAATTAAATGATTTTCACTGGTACTTTTTTATTATTTGAATTCCTATCCTATATGTTATACAATCATATTTTATTGGTAATTAGAAAAAGTATATTTTTGTACCAGCTAAAATCCAACAAGGCTGTGAGTAGGTACCAGCACCTAGCACCGCGCTATATTAAGAAAATAGCTACACCATGCCAATCAAATTATTTAATCACCTTCCCAAAGGTTGCAGAATACTTACCATCAAGAAAGGTGATTCGATTTTTAAAGGCATAGTGTTCTTAGATTATAAGTTTTGAGTTACTAACACAGAATATGACAAAATAAATAATTCAATTGCTTTCAATTACAATTTGACATTTGCTGAAAACTGAAAATGAATTTGGTTAAGTCAGACACAAGGATAAACTTAACTATGATACTTAGAAACGACCTAATATTATTCAATCTACACATTTGATGAGACAGTCCCTATTAAACATACTAAATTTATATTAATACCAAATGACATGGCAAATGTTGTTTGGCCATATAATTATGATTACAGTTCTCTTGTCTTATTAAGAAACCGGCGTTGTTGGGAGAATTTTTTATTATAGGGATATATTTTATTTACAATTTTCTTAACCTACAAAGTAATAATAAAACTAGATAAAAATTATTGAAAAGAAAATTAAAACAAATTTACAATAAGTAATTACTAAATAAATAGTTAGTTATTTTTTTATTTTAGATGTATATTGTTTATTTGCTCCTTACATTCGCAATGACGACGAGTGCAAAGAGGACATTATCACGATAATCAAAAGAGCCCACGAACACTTGCACGTACTCGTTCTTGGCACCCTAGGTTGAAAAGAGCAAACCATTCGAATCAGTGAATTAGTGTGAGTGCACGTTAGTCTGCTTAACAGTGGCAAGTGGAAAAAATAGTATACAAGAACAGAGAGTCTTCCCTTAATAGAGTGTCTATAAGTGTTATTACAAAATAAAATAAAATATGTTTATTATGGAACATAAGATACATGTATCACTTATTCCACGTCATTCAATTTGAAGGCATCCCTACTCATCGGCAAAGAAGACAGAGGGTGTAGGCCGAGAGAAAAAGCCGGCGTAAAAAACTCTCGGTACTCTTTTAAAACAGCAAATCATCAAACAGGACCTTATTAGTTAGATAGACCTTTATGCGGAAAAAAATATTTATAAAATTGTTAATTTTTAAATTACAAAAAATAGGATACCTTGATTACTTAGGGATATAACTCACAAGAGATATCTTCAGGTTTCAACTATCTTTAAGACGTTCATTAAGATTTTGAGTTAAGTAAATTTTTGCTAACATTCTACGCAGCTATTATTTAATAACACAATACGCAATGCGACAAGATAAATTTGCTATGGAAGTTCCCGCATGCAGGGCAATAAATTTTGATCGCTCACTCAAATCTTAAATTATTCAAGGATTCTCGATGTTACGCTTTGTATATCTTATATACTTTGTACTTTGATTTTATTGACATATATTTAAGTATTTAAGCAGTACAGTTTCATCATACACCTAGCATTAAGCGTCTTGCAGGCTAAAAAACTGAGGTGTTGAGGAATGTTCGGTTTAATACCTGCAGCTGAGTTTTATTATCGGACGTTATGGCAGAATACGAAATTCCACCCGTATCACATCGACGTCCGTCGTTCCACAACTGAGCGTTTTTCAAGGCCTATTTTGCCGCAGACCACCAATATGTGGAACCAGCTGCCCACTGAAGTATTTCGGAAACAATTCAACTTAGGGTCTTTCAAGAAAAAGTTACCAATTATTAAAAGGCCGCAACGCACTTGCGAGCCCTCTTGCAATGGTAGTGTCTATGGGCGGTATTCCTTAACATCAGATGACCCTCCTGTTCATTTGCTACCTGTTATATAAAAAATATGGTGGTGTGAAACTGAGGGTAGACTGACCACATTTTAACTTGTCATTTGGTTTTGTTAAATTTAATTATATTTTAAATAGGACCATTTAAGTACGTATATCAATAAATGTACATAAGATATTTTATATTATATTTTAGATGCAAGACTCGTGCATTTTTCTATGATTAAAAATATGTTTCACCAATTATCTACAAATAAGCAAATTAATAATTAAAATAGGCAAATTTTCCGATTTTTGAATTATGTTAAGTTAAATATAGTGTTAAGTTTTTTTGCACTAAAGTATGTTTACCTCACAACATAGTGACTAGTGTCTAATACTTCCAATGTTAGCCGATAAAAATGGTAGGTTATGTTTAATTAACTTAATACATAAGTTATATAAGATACAAAACTCAAAAGTCACTTTTTCATGTATACTTTATTAAATACCTACTCCAGCACTTCGCTATCAAAGGTATTATAGCACAAAGATTCCTCATAATTCAGCGTTCATTCTTATCTGTAGATTCACTGAGTTACTTCAGTCGCGTTAATAAGTATTAAAACTAATTGCACTCAGCGCTAAGTGGGACTCATATTACTCAGATCACGTAGGTCCAGTTATGTAGATAACTTTGCTTTTAATTCTTTTATCTCTAGTGACTATGATAGGAAAATTACATGAACTAACAAAAGCATTTTAACAAAGCAAATTTCTCGTAGATATGCGTGATACTTCTTTCACAAAAACATAAATATTTTTATGTCAACGTGAATAGACATATGTCGAAGTAGACATGGGAAGAAATTGGCTATGCTAAAAATTAATCTGGAATTGTATAGAAAACACACCTTTTGTATAGAAATCAGGGTTTATTGCAATTTACCAAAAAGTAAAAAAAAGATCTTCCTACTAGAGTTTTCAAAAATCCACTTAATGTGCTACTTTTGGAAAAAAAATATTATTCTTTTAATTATTATTTGATGAAATAATAATATATTTTAATAATGTGATTTATCACTACAAATAATATAAGAATTTACTATAATGATATTATGACTCATAATGTATGTAACTTCTATGTTAAATTTATTTTAAGACATATTTTGGCCACATAAACTTTTTTGTTCCATATTATGCAAATTAAAAATTATTATTATTAGTAATAATAATACTTTATATTTGTAATTGATGTACCATTGAAACAGTTATACTATTCATATTTTCCAGTGCCGGAATAATAAAGTGTACTTTCCATTGTATATTTGTTAATAAAATAAACTATTAAATCATTATCGAATATAAAAAAAAATCGTTGACCACGACTGCTGCAAATTATTTAATCGTTATGTAATTGATCATTTGTGTTGTATAGTTACATAAGTATCAGATAAAAGTACTACAATGTTAAAGAAAATATTATCGAATGTAATATTTCTAATTCTGTTACTCGTAATACAAATATTTAATCAATATTGCTATTTTTATCACATTTCACATATTATTTGATCACTTTCCAAAGGTAATGCTAACAATATTAACGTTCATAATATTAATAATAGTATTACATGTACTGGGTGGCGCAAAAGTAAAGACCCTATTTGGTTCAGCTATAAAAAAAATTCTAAATTAGAAAACTAGATTTAGGTTTTTTTAAATGTATATTTGTGCCATTAAATTTCGTAC